CCCCCCAGATTTGCAATAACCATACACCGGCTATTTCCTCAAGACACTCTATTCCATATACCTTTTACCCGTGCTTTTCCTACACTACGGACGCCCTAGTGTATGTACAGTCCGTATGATGTCAGAAATGCTTACCCCTCTTTCCGACTCAAGGCATACAAAAGCGGAGGGTAAATTTACCCCCCAGATTTGCCGATCACGCATCTTCGTGCCTGCCAACGAGTGCACCCGGGTTGTTCCAATGTACCCTTCCCAGTCAGCGATGTCACATTTACATTCTTTAGCGCAAAGTATGTACATAGCAACCTTCCTCCCAAAACATGTAATCCCTACATGCTTTGCCGACTATGTAACTAGTACATCCGGTGCGATTCGGCTAGCTTTCGACCTCTCCCCCTGGCCTCAAGTCACTGGAGTCACTGTAGAAAGTGCAGATGTACAATACTCATCGAGAGACGCGGTTCAGAACGTTACTCACATGTGGCCCAGTCGGGGAATTTGGAGTTACCCACAGACCACTGTCTATTGAAAGAGTGATGATCTTTCTCTATTTTCTAAAGGTGTTCAACTGTACAAATTGAACAACTGGTTCAACGGGCCATTTTTATGCCGCAATTTAATGGTTTCAGAGTAGATGGTCCTTATAAACGTGATAAACCACCGAATTTGGGGCTAACTTGTGCCATCGAACCTCTAAAACCGTAAATCAATGGTGCCGCATTCAGAGCAGCTGGGCATTTGCATGGGGTCCGAACCGACTTGCGGAAGTGCCGCCTGACTGGGCACTTCGGTCACCGAACGACAGAATCAAAGCACCTGAAGTGGCGTGACTTCCGGAAGGCTTCTTGGTGTGCAAACATGGGCTTCTTCCCCCACACAACCAACTCAATTGTGCATGTCTTCTCCTGGTGCGGGATCTTGAATAGCTGAATAGCTGAAGATAGAAGGGTTTAGCGACCGCAGCCACGTTGCAGCCTACTTCCCTCTGAACAAAAAGAACAGGAAAACCAAGCACAGGACGTCAACCCCAGAAGCAAAAGCTTGGCTTTTGGAGCTTTGCTTTCCGCTTTTTGGTCCTAGCAACCTTGATCCTCGCCCCGCGCCAGGACCTGGCTTCCCAGCGTTTTGGCGCTCCTCCTTCGAGCGTCCCCGCGCAGCAGCCGAGTGCTGGCGAAGGGCGCTAGTGGAGAGCTGGGGCAGCTCCTACATGGTTTGCCACAGGTGGGGCCGGGAAAGGAGCGAACAGTCAGACTTTGGCACCTTCACAAACAATCTTATGAAGAAAGGTCTAAAGATAGAAAGGCCTGCAAAGCGAAGATTTGTCCGGGCCATCCATCATCCAGAAACACCATTGAAACTGGTAGGAGGGTTGACCATGCTCGTTTGCGTAGGAGTTCGCCCACCAGCACTGGTATGTATGAGTAGAGCTCTGCCGTCACTGCCACTGAACGCATCCGATCCGCACCGGTGCATGAAAAGAAGGTGATGCCCTACACTAAGACCTGTGCCTCGGCATGAAGGCAGTTTATGGCGGGTCGAGTGAGAGGAAACGAAGAAAAGGTGTGGTATATTCGATCTTCTCCGGTGTTTCTTTTTCTAACATGCAGGTGGGTTGAATCATTGTACATTCACCCCGTGTCCTTTCTCAAGCTCATTTTGCTGGCACACACGGAAGAAAGAATGGGCAGTACAAGGCCCTTTCGTCCAACATGTTGTAAAAGTGGCAGGTATTGAAGGCTGAAAACATACCGGGGCCATTTCGGAGGCTCAAATTAACATCGACTGCTTTCGCAAACGCCATGCGATGTTATAGGTCTAGTTCGTGTTCTTGCTTGTAAAAGAGCTTGTTCCACCTTGGGCATTCTATAAATCACACTTTTCCCAGCACGTTCACAAAAAAGCTAGTGTACTTTGGCAACTGTGTGGTCAGATCATGTTGTGATTCCTAGGTTTGTTCGCGCTGTGCCTCCCATGACCCTTCCAATGGGCATCAGGGACTGACTGACCTTTTTTTCCCTTCCCCTACAAGTCAATGACCTCATTTTACTGGAGTTGGTCATACAAAAACACTGTTCAAGAAGCTAAAGGACCTGGTTTTACTGGGTCAGACTGGACGAAGGTAGGGTTCTCTTTTGGCCATGCCATTCACGATCTCGGTCCATTCAGGCGACCAGGGAAACCCGGCAGGCTCGAGGTTCCGAAGTATTTCCTGGCGATCCTGGAGCCCAATCAATACCAGGCAGACTCGCATGTAATGCCTAGGGCTTCAGAAGGTGATTAGAACCCCCCTCAGAAGGTAGTTGGAGCCCTAGGGAATATAGACTTGCCATGGATGTGGCCAAAACTTTACAGAATTATACCAGAGGTCTTGTTGACACCCTTCTATCACTCTGGTGATAAGTGCTATAACATGCTTTTGGGGTCAAGCAATTGGACGTCCATTCCCGTTATTCGGACTGGACCTGAGTACTACAAAGTGAGCGGTGTTGAAGTCGGTGATTTGGAGATTGGCCATGGGCCCAGGCAGGATTTTGAGAAGTTTCTCCCACCCTTCACAACCATGTGTTTTTCTTTTTTCGTCGAACGGTTTGGGTGGGAGTAGGGCAATGTCTCATATGAACTCTGTATATGATGTACATGTACATGTATATATATATATATATACCATCATCTGTTTTGTGTTGGCAGGGGGGCGGGGGTTGGCCTTTCGAGGCAAGAGCCTTGCCGTGGGCAAGCTGAATGTCACCAAGTTGCCTCATGGCTTCGGCCCGTCGTTCGCGGGGTTGGAACCGAAGGGGCCCGATGCCGAGTTGGGGTTGGAAGGCGACATGATTCCCATGACCCATGGGATCCCCAAATATAAGGAACCAGGGCTTGTAGGTCTATGGTTTGTAGGTTTATGGTTTGTTGGAACCACTGGTGACCAGCGACATCGTGGTTTGCCTGGATGCTCGGGGTTTTCGAGTAAGGCGATGCCCAGTACACCTATGGGACGGCCCACACCAATGGGACGTCCCGCAGACTTGGTCACTTTGACTTGTCCAAGAACTTTCTCATTTTATCCCCCAACAGTTCATAGGACAAGGAGGAATATGTTGGCTGACGCTGGATTTGGCTTGAAGATGGGAGAATGTGAGAGGTTCCATATGGCTTCATCATGCTTAGATCAGCCATGATAACATGAGATAACCTGGCATGTGTGGAACGGTATCAAGGGTCATCACCTTAGGGCGGTCTGGGCTGGTTCTGGAGGTTCAATCCCAGAAGCAAGACGAGCAGAACCACCTGGACTCTAGAAGTGCAAAGCACGTTTGGCCTTGGAGGTGCCGTCGTGTGGGTAGGAGGACCACTTAGATCCCTATGGTCCCTATCCCTACACCTCCGTTTTCGTAGCTCCTCAGGTTCGGTATGACTGGCCCCTCCAAACCCACCCCAGTCCCAGCTTCGAAACGCTTCGGTCCGACTGGAGGGCCATGAGATGGAACTTTGGGATGGAAAGGGGTTTCGCTTCTTCCCTTCGAGGACGTGTCAACTGCTGGAACGCCTGGTCTTCCCACCGGCGAACGCCAGCTTGTGGCTGGGCGATGGGGGGGTGGTGGGAGTTGAGGGGATAGGGCCGGGGGCACGACCCAGCAGCTTCTTTTAGGGCAAGCAGCTTCCGCAGTTTCCGCACAAATATCACATGTTTCACCTGATGTTTTAGGTGTCGCTTCGTCGGATCCAATGGGACGATAACATGAGTCAGGGGCTTCTTCACCCACGCCGTCAGATCTGCTTCACCCACTTGAGGCTGCTTCACCTGTCGCTGCCTATGGATGGTGCGACATGTGCGATGGATGCAGCACAGTCCAAGAGCTTCCTGCAGAATCTGAAGGCGTTGGAGGCAGAACTCAGGGAAGCAGATCCGGTCTCCACGCTGGAGACGTGGCGGAATTGGCCCAAACACCTATGCCTATAGTTGATCCTAATTGCTTAAGCACACTTTTTTGATTGAACGCCTTTGGCACACATGAAATGATAACCGCAGCCTTGTTTTGTTGGGGGTTGATGAGCCACTCATTCATGTAGAAACCCTCAAGCCTTTGGGGAATCTGAAGGGCTCAGGCCACCTTCTCTCCACTGCCAGGCTTTGGACTGAAAAGGGGGGACGTCACGAAGGTAGGACGCTTCTTATCCTCAAACGATTCTTTTTCGCAAAGATGGAGCACAATTCGTGTGTTTGGAGTCGATTCGATGCCGTCGGAATTCTTTTGGGATGCCTGGATTCTGAAATCATGCGCAGCTGCCGTTGAATTCTTGGAACACATTGAAGTCCAAGACTTGGCGCGGCGCAAGCTTTCTTCAGCCTCGCAGTCCTTCCGTGTCTGAGGACGTCATCGTCATTGAGGCACAGAAGCCACTTGGCCGAGACGGATGTCAGTTCGTGCCTCCGGTCCTTTAGTGGGGAACCGGGGCTGCAGTTGCTTGACATGTCGCCCAGGTTCTGGGACCCCAAACAACGGGAAGCAACAGGGTTTTTCCAGTATGGGCCATTGACATCCTATAGGAAACTGGCTAGGACTGGGGGGGACAACATCCATTTAAGTGTCCAGGCCAGGGACCCGTTCTTGTTTGGAGCTTTGTCACGAGTCAAGGCTGCACCCGCTGGCTGTTCGGCGCGCGCCAGTGCCGGCCGATGCAGGTACTACGTGCTCCTGGCCGAAGGCCTCTGAAGGCCGGCGGCGTCGCTGCCGTGGCGCTCCATGGAGTGATGGAGTCGTGGTGCTGGCGCCAGTCGCTGGAGTCGTGGAAGTCGCTGGAGAGGAACAGCTCAGATTCAGCGAAGCCGCTGGCTGAAGCCTTGGATCCGAAGATCTCCGAAGCCTCCGTGTAGATTGTGGGGGGCAGCCCAGTCAGCCCAATCCGTGCACCCCATCAGACGGTTTGGCTCCAAAGCGAGCGAGCAGCGCTGCGGCGTGCTGTTTCTGCGACGGGGTGTGATGCCAGCGATGATGAGTTTACTCATACTGTAAGGGCTTCGCCCGGGTGCCGCCGACCCCTTTTCAAGAGGAGTGTAGCATGTGTAACTGAAGGCGTTAGTGTCGTTCCGGTGGTTGCCCGTCTGCGGAAAGAAGATGGGTGTTCTAGCCTTAGGCGTGGCCTCGGACAGGCTAACTGTGGCCTGTGCTAAAGCCCACAAAGGTGGAGATGCCAATGCCAATAAGGTTGCACTCTGCGAGGCGCCGAGAAGCGTCTGAGGGGGGCCGTCGCCTTCGGAAGCCTAGAAAAGAAGAGGCTGGCCTCGGCTGCTAGCACCGTACGTGGCAGCCCAGGCCATGCCAAGGCTGCGTGGCCTCGGACAGGCTAGCTGTGGCCTGTGCTAAAGCCCACAAAGGTGGAGATGCCAATGCCAAGGTTGCACCCTGCGAGGCGCCGAGAAACGTTTGAGGGGGGCCGTCGCTTCGGAAGCCTAGAAAAGAAGAGGGTGGCCTCGGCGGTTAGCATCGTATGTGGCAGTTCAGGCCATGCCAAGGCTGCGTGGCCTCGGACAGGCTAGCTGTGGCCTGCGCTAAAGCCCACAAAGGTGGAGATGCCAATGCCAAGGTTGTGCCCTGCGACCCCAGGATATACACCAACAACAGCAATCACAGCAGCAGCACTAAGAAGAAGACCCAGAAGCATCACAAGATCAGAAAAACCACTAGCAACAGGCAGCAAGAAGCATAGTAGCAATGCCTCTGTTCTGGCTGTGCTAATAGACTGGCGGCTGTTTGCGGGGGCCTTGTTGGACAGCCCAGGTGCTGAGCCAGCAA